ACTGGTATCGGGACACCCCTACCCTCAACACCTCGGCTGCACCTAGAAATTCTGTTCATGAAAGTAATGAACAGAATCGGTGACAAAGGGCAGCCTTGGTGGAGTCCAACTCTCACCGGAAACAAGCCCGACTTACTGCCGGCAATGCGAACCAGACTCTGACACCGGTCGTACAAGGACCTGACAGCCCTTATCAAAGGACCCTGTACTGGACTGGAAAATGTTAAAATAAAATTAAAATTACCTGTTTTTTACTTCTTGTGATTTGAATTTAATTTAACCTGCTTAATTTAACCTGTTTTACATATTTACAGCTAGCCTAAACATAAGCTGCACACACAAAAAAATAATAAATAAAAAATAAAAAGTCATTCCCAACAAAAGTAACCCAACCTGCAAAATGAAGTAATCATGTGCACATTTATGGAGAAGGACTAAAAAGAAAACCAATTTTAACAGGCCCAGAGGCAAAAGAAAAACCTAAATTTTCATCACCCAGAGCTATGTTTTAATGAAAAATCTCATTTAAAAAAAATGTGCTCCTTGACTGCAGTGAGACCATGAATTTCAACACATGCAGTCAGAATGTGCAGAAAAATGCAATCCATTATGGAATTTAACACATGTAAAATTAACCAGCTTTGTTGTGTTGTAAACAGCACGTTACTCAAAAAGGTTCCTCTGATTGGTTTAAATAATTCAACATTTTGAATGCTCCTCTTCATCTCTCAGAAACGAGTGCAGATGTTTGATGAACCTCCATGATCCAGACTAGCTTCCAAAGCTACAGTATGTGGGTCAGCTCTTTGTTGCCACTGGCCCAAGAGGGCTAAAAACACAAACTGGTGCTCTGTAAAACCTGACATATTGAGAGCAGTTCCTCCAAGTTCCAACTCCTTTACTAAACCAGGGACCATCTCCCCCATCATCTGGCTTCCAGTAAGGCATGCAAGACCTCATTTCGTAAAAACAACGCATTATGTAATAATGCAATAAAATCAGGCTTTAAAATGTAATAAACTCATGCTAAAACCGCATAATTGACACAAAATGTAATAAAATTCTTTTACACATTATGTAATAACATTATGACATTTTGTGTCAATTGTTACAAAATGTGGTGGTGTAATAATCTGGTGCATTATGTAATAAACAATCAAAAACCAGTATTTCTGTTCATCCTAATCAATATACTTGTAATAACTGTCATGTTGTAAACACTACATAATTAAATCTTTGTAACTTTGGTCAATAAACACAGAACTTCTCATCTTTTATTTGCATTTTCAGTCAAATTCTTGTGTACATGGATGTATAGAGCAATCTCACAGATTGTTTTCATGTTTTATGGAATCTTTCAAAAACTTTGTTTCTAATTTATTCAACATGTCAGAGTCTGTAGGACGTTAAAAACAATTATTAACATCAAATATCCACTTCCAACCAACTCTGTTGCTAGAAACAAGTTCTTCAACCCTCATTTCCTTCTGATACAGAAGCCGGCACTGCGCCCCCTCTCCCCTTCACGGCTGATGGTCCACCTGCACCCCACAGC